CACACACACACACACACACACGCATACACAAACCTAACCATACAAAGCTAGAGAAATTCTTTTCCTGATTATTTTTCCTTCTCCAGACAGAGACATCGATAGATTTGAATCATGGGCCGACAGTAATTAAAAAGCACATAACTAGTCATTTTAAAATGCATTTGTTTTACTTAATTGATTTTGCCAGCAGACCCGGAGAAAAAAAGGAATAGGGAAAAGAAAGCTTTAGAAAGGGAGAGAAGTTTCCGAGAGTGACTGGAGGCAGCTGAGGGCCCTGCTTGAATCTAATTGCTGCAAATGCTGCAGTTTGTTTCTGCTGATGGTTTTCTCCTGAAAGGGCTGGGGGCCGAGGCCTGATTGGAGGGGCTTGGTGTTTGTTTCAGCTGCAAAGGGGGTATAATTCTGCTTTTGGGACAGGGCCTATTTTTCCTTACTATCTATCAGCATAAAGTACTTCCATTGAACACTTTGAATCAAGGTTCCATTTGGAGATACTTTATTCATATTTAATTACAGGCTGCAGCACCAATCTTTAATTACCTTTTTAATAAGCGAGCTAGGAACATCTACTAGCAATCAAGTGTGTGTGTGTGTGTGTGTGTGTGTGTGTGTGTACGTGCAGGAGGGTGTGAGCATGTGACTTGTTTCCTGATAGAGAGGGAAAGGATGACTGGGGGTGTGGGGGGTTGGGGAGGTGTTAGGTGGGTGTGGGGTATGGGTGGGGAACGAGGGCATCTGCCTAATAGCTTCCCTGTGCCATGAGTGGCACATCTTCGTTTCCTGTGGCTCTTTTTGCTTCCTCTGGTAAGATTGGGGATTTGGGCGCCTGTTCTGAGTCCTCACAGCTGGGCCGTGTTCAGGGTGCTGAGTTAGCAGTTGGGTTTGGATGGGGTCTTGGGGCCCCCTCTATCCCCCTGGTGGGAGCAGGGGAACTGTAGGAGGCCCCCTTTCTGTCCCTTGGGCGTGTGGTGGACAAGGATTCCTCTCACCTGGGAGACTGGGATACAACCTTTCCTTCCTCCACCTCCCCACAGGATGCTCTTGGCAGCTGGTCTGGCCATGTAGCCCTAGTTATACCATGTCACTCTTTGGTTGCAATGACTTTGCAATGTCCCAGCAGTGACACTGGTTTGGAGACTGACTGGCCTTCTCAGAGAATGTGCAAATGTCCCTGGGGAGCCAGGCTGAGGCGTGGGTGGGAGTGGGGTCAGATGACCCTAAAGTCATTGTGCAGCAGGAAGGTTGGGCTGTTCCAGGTGCCTGGGAGATGAGGGTCTGGGTTTACAGCTTTGCTCCAGAAAACACCTTCCTCTGGAGCTGGTGCTCCTGCAGGAACCACCAGGCAATTCCAAAGCAACTCGAGGGTGATCTCATCATGCAACAGCTGGGAATGTGGCTGGACCCTGTCCCAGCAAATGAGTGAAGAGAGGGTAGGAACTCAAATGCACTGAGCCCCTTGTGGGTGCTGACTTCTATGCCTATATTCATTGATCCCAGCTGGGACCTGAGAACACTGTATCCGTCAGAGCCCCTTCAGCTGTGTGTGACAGAAAACCCAACTCAAACTGACTTACACACACACAGAGGAATCATTGAATGGGTACTCAGGCATGGTTGGATCCAGGGGCTTAAGCATTGTCTCCAGGATTTACTCTTGTCTCTTGGCTCTGCTATCCTCTTTGTTGCTACTTGTGTGACCCCAGGCAGCTTCGACTTATGTTTTTAATTTCAAGTTCAGCAGAGAGACTCTCTTTTCCTCCAATTTGAACAAAAGTAAAACAGTTGAGTCTGATTGGACCAGTTGAGTCACGTGTCCATCTCTGAAGCAATCACTGTCGCCAGAGGCATTCAGTTTTCTGATTGGCCAGGCCAGGGTCTCACAGCTATGCTGGAGTAACCGGTAGAGTCCACCTGGGTAAAACTACAGATGATATGTACTTTGACTATTCTGGAAAGTTACACACTTGAGGTCTTTGAATTAATAGGAGTATGGTTGCAGGAAGGTTCTGGGGATCGAAGCATGTCCAGTCATTTTAAAATCAAAGAGAAGAAAGAGTCTATTTGGTTTTCCCCAAATGGAGAGAATAGTAGATCCATTCGCTTAATATATACTTATCTGGCATCTGCTAGTTCCAGACCCTGTTCAAGATACAGGGAATTCAACAGTGAACCAAACAGATAAGAATCCCTGTACATGGAGCTAATGTTCTAATGGGTTTTATGGGGACGATGGTCCCAGGCCCAGGTCCAGAATAAAGGGTTCTTATGCTGAGAGACCCAGGGTGATTTGGGGTGGATGACATGGAAGAATCTTACCCTTAGGGATTCTGGAACTCAGAAGGAGGGAAAAAGACAAGCTTGTGGTTGGAGGAGAAGGGGGAACTAGACATCGGGAGGGGATACAAATAAAAACCCAGTGAGAAGAAGGGGCACAGAAAAGCCAATACTGTACCCATCTCCTGTGACAGAAAAATGTTAGCCCCTCCCTGTGTTGTCTGGGTCTTTGGCCTCAGCAGGATGTTGATAAATGGGATAGAGTTCAGTGAAATCAACAAAAATGATGACAGGGCTGGAGGGAGTGATTTATGAGAAGAGATTAGCAAAGTGATGGGGCAGCGTGGCAGACAGGACAATGGGATGGTGGCCGTGGTCAGATGACTTCTGAAGTCCAAGGGGAGGAGAGAGCATGGGAGGGTGGGGGAAGGCGTGTGACTAGTTGTATACGTACACACTTATACGTGGATATGTGTGAATGTGTCGACTTTTTTCCGGAATTTGGAGGATATACAGAGGTTTAAAAGGGAAGAAATGGAGGGGATTGAAATTTTAGCCTTGGGCAATCTAGAAAAAAGCTCTTGGGGACCTCCTTCCCATTTGGTGGAATATTCTGGACCATGTGGATGTGATCACTCAAATCAGAAAAAAAATTTTCTTTAAGAAAATTGGTATGACATTCCTGAGAGGGAAGGAGGGAAGGAAGAAGGGAAGAGAAAATGGAGGAGTAAGGAGTATACTTTCCATTTCATAGAGAAAGTGAGATACAGCAAAGGCAGGTGAGGACCAAAAGCAGGGCTTCTGGCTTGCAGCCTTGGGGTCTCTGTCCGTGTGGCTGGACTGGGAGTGGGCTTGAAGCCCCATGTGGAGACTGCTGCTCAGGCAGGAACAAGAGTTGGCTGTTGTGTCTGGCATGTTTGGCCTGGAGGTTTTGAGTTCTCCAGGTTGGTGGAATTGGAACATCTCCTGTCTGATGCCTATCTTGGCCTGCCCTAGGCCCAATTCTGTTATTATTTTTTTATTGTACTTTAGGTGAAGGTTTACAGAACAAATAGTTTCTCATTAAACAGTCAGTACACATATTGTTTTATGACATTGGTTAACAACCCCATGACATGTCAACATTCTCCCTTCTCCACCTTTTTTTTGGTGAAAGTATACATAGCCGAAGATACACCATTTCAAAAATTTCTACATGCACAATTCAGTGACATTGATTACGTTCTTCCAATTGTGCTGCTATTCTCACTTTAGATAAAGGTTTACAGAACAAAATAGTTTCTCATTAAACAGTACACATGTTGCCCTATGACAACGGTTAACAACCCCACTACATGTAATCTGTTATTATTTTTAATTGAGATGAAATTCACATAACATAAAATTAACCATTTTAACGTATACTATTTAGTGGCATTTAGTAATGCCTTAGTTACCTAGTGCTGCTATAACACAAATACCACAAGCGAGTGGCTTTAAAAGAACAAGAATTTATTGTCTCATAGTTTTGGAGGCTAGAAGTCCAAATCAGGACATGGATTGGCTCTAGGGGGAGGATCCTTCCTTGTCAGTAGCCCTGGGCGTTCCTTGGCGTTCCTTGGCATTCCTTGGCTTACTGAGGGATCTTCATATGGTGTCTGTCTTCCTCCTGTGTGTGTGTCACTGTGTCTATTCTCTTTTATAAGACACCGCTCAAAAGGGATTAGGTTTAGATCTACCCTACCGTGGTATGTCCTCATTAACATAAAAAACAAAGCCCCTATTTCCAAACAGGGTCACATTCACAGGTATGGGGGTTAGGACTTCAACATAATTTTTGGGGACACAATTGAAAAATCTGTAGCAAGTACATTTACAAATTATGTAACCATCACCTCTACCCAGTTCCAAAACATTTTCATCCCTCCAAAAAAAAAAAAAAAAAGGTCCTGTACCCATTAAACAGTCACTCCTCACTCACCCCAACCCTAGCCTCAGATTGGCAACCACCAATCTGCTTTCTATCTCTTCGGGTTTATATATTCTGGATATTTCATACAAATGCAGTCATGCAATATATGACTGTTTCTGTCTGGCTTCTTTCATTTAATATAATGTTTTTGAGGTTAATCTGCATTGTAGCATGTATCAGTACTTCATTCCTTTTTATGGCTGAATAATATTCCATTGTATGTGTATGCCACAGTTTGTTTATCCATTCATCTGCTATGGACATTTGGGTTGTTTCTACATTTTGGCTATTGTGAATAGTGTTGCTGTGAATATCTGTGTACAAGGATTTGTTTGAGTACCTGCTTTCAGTTCTCTTGGATATATACCTAAGAGTGGGATTGCTTGGGTCATGTGGTAATTCCGTGTTTAACTTTTTGAGGAACTGATGTATTTACTTTTGATTCTCCATATGTAAGAGCCCAGGAGGTACAGTGGTAGATAATTAAATGGGCAAATGATGTACATTTCTGAACATTCTAGACAGTACTTCATGCTTCACATGCATGAAGATATAACCTCCAATGGTGTCTTCTGCTCCTCTCCTCTCCATATGCCTGAGTGGGAATCTCCATGGCAGCAAAGGGCCCAGGCAAGGCCCTGGGTTGGCACACAGAACTCATAAAGCAGAAAATCCGTTTTCTGTCAGCATTGGAAAGTGCTGACTCTGGCCCGTCTTCCTCTTAGTGAATTAGGTCATCTTCTCAATTGCTCTGCCCTTTCTCCACTTTTGACAGATCCACGATTTGTTTGTGAGCTTTGATGACACCCCTCTGGGGGCTGCCTCCCTGGCTCAGGTCCACAAGGCAGTGCTACGTGATGGGCGGACAGTGGCCGTGAAGGTCCAGCACCCAAAGGTGCAAGCTCAGAGCTCGAAGGACATTCTCTTGATGGAGGTAAGAGCCTTCCCCTTCCTCCTTCCCTTGTCCTCATTCTGCACTTCACTGGGATCCAGCAGCCTTGGTTAAACTGGTTCAAGGCTGGCGGTTGGGGTGTGGCCCTTTGAGCAGCAGAGTAGGGAGAGGAGAGCTTGAGACCATGGTGAAGGAGGTGTCATGACAATTCTGCGACCTTGGGACCTCATGGCTGGGTTGGCCAGCTTTTCCATATTTGTCCTTGGGAGCTGTCTGTGTGTGGTCTCAGAACAGGGTGAACAGCTTCTAGGGTCAATGAGACTTCAAGGCAGAAGTTGTAGAAATGAGATGAACCAAAGGTGATTTTCTTGAGAGTAGAAAAGTTACATCTTAATTTGTTAAATTATAACAAAATGGAGCCTGTGGACAACCAAGGGGTACAAAAATGACATACAGATCACGCAGAAATGTTTGTGTACTTTGCCTGTTTGCTTATCTGATACTTGTTTTGAATGAACAAGCTTACATGCCTGAAAATGGCCCTAGGAGACCTCCACCAGACTGAGTCCAGTACAGCTAGATGGTGCCCGGCTACCACCACTGACTGCTCCAACCAGGATCACAACAGAGGGTTCTGGACAGAGCTGGAGAAGGATGTAGAGCATAATTCTAACCCACAAAAAAAAGACCAGATTTACTGGCCTAAAGGAGACTGGAGAAACCTCGAGAGTATGGCCCCCAGACACCCTTTTAGCTCAGGGGTGAAGTTACCTCCAAGGTTCACTGTTCAGCCTGGGAGTGGACAGCCCCGTAAAACCAAATGAGACTAACGAGGTACAGGAATCCAGTGACAAGGGCCAGAAGGCAGAAGGGGACAAGGAAGCTGGTGATAGGGAACCCAAGATTGAGTAAGGATATTGTTGATGTGTTGTGAGATTGTTAACCATTGTCATAGGGCAACATTTGTAGTAACTGTTAAATGAGAAACTATTTTGTTCTATAAGCCTTCATCTTAAGTGAGAATAACAGCACAATTGGAAGAGCGTAGTCAATGTCACTGAACTGTGCATGTAGAAATTTTTGAAATGGTGTATCTTTGGCTATGTATATTTTCACCAAAAAAAAAAAAAGGTTGAGAAGTTAAAGGGTTAATATGTTGTGGGGTTGTTAACCAATGTCATAAAACAACATGTGTACTACTGTTTCATGAGAAACTATTTGTTCTGTAAGCCTTCACCTGAAGTACAATAAAAAAAAAAAAAAAAAAAAATGGCCCTAGGAGAAGCCCTACTGGAGACTGCTCTGGATTTTTCTAGCTCCAGCCCCAGAACATGGAAGAAAGATGGTGAACTAGCCAGTGGCTGGTGCTCGGGACTGAAACCAACACTCCCCATGTGGAGGTTAGCAATCTGTTTAACCTGCCAGCATGTCCCTCTTCCTCCTTCTCTTGCCTCTTCTCTCTCTCCCTTTCCTTTGTTCTCTTCCCTCACTCTGGACTCCTAGCTTTCTTCTTTCAACTCACTTTAAGTTTAACACGTGCATCTAGGGTTCCTCTGCACATGCAACAGGTGGGTGCTGGGAACACAAGAGTTACTGAGCTCCATCTTTGTCCTCAGGGAGCACTCAGGTTAGTGGAAAGACAAGTCCGTAAACAGATGGCCACAGGGTGGGGCCTGAGCTCTGTCAAAGAGAAGGATGCAAAGTGCGATGGAGCTCTGTGCCTGGATTGATGGTGGGCTTTTCAAGGAGGTGATACTTGAGTGCACTCTTGAAGAGCCCACAAGATAGCCGGGCAGGGGGAGGACAGCCCAGCGTGTGTGAAGGCCCTGAGTCTTAGAGGAACAGGGTCTGCTTGGAGAACTTCAATTAGTTCAAGTGGTATAAGCTGGTGAATGGTTGGAGATGAGGCTGGGAAGGTAGGCAGGACCAGAACATGCAGGGCCTTGTATTCCAGGCTAACGTGGAGAATGGTGTCCATAGTAAACATTCAATATGCATTTGTGGAACTGAGCTGGTCTGATTTTCTCCTGTAGTCAGTGGGGAACCATTTAAGAATTTTAATCAGGGGAGTATCATGATCAGATGTGCATTAGGAATAGAAATCAGTTGGCAATCTGAAGAATGTATTGGAAGGCAGAAAGACTGGCCAGGGAGACTCACTGAGGGCTGCTGCAGTGGTCTGGGAGAGAAATAATGGTGTGAACCAAGGCAGTGTAATGGGGATGGAGTGGAGGAATGGGGCCAAGGGATAGAATTATGCGGACACAAAATGATCTGCGACTGGCTTCATATGGGATAGGGTCAATGACTGGTATGAATGAGGAGGAGGAAAGACTAAGACATTTCTGGCTTAAATGATTAAGTTGGGTGCCTTTAACCATGCATATCAGAAAAAAAGAAATTGCCCTAGGTATTTCAAACAGAGGGAATTTAAAACAGAGAATTGGGCTCGAAGGGGATAGAGTTGCTGAGAAGCCAAATGGGAAGGTGAGATAGTCTAGACATAACCAACAGCCAGAAGCCACTGCCGCCCTCAAGGTTGGAGGGACAAGTTAGGGAGGTGGTTCTCTGGAGCCCAGGTGCTGGGGCCACCTGGTGGAAGCTTGCTGATTGGGAACTGGATCATAAACATAGAACCTGTCAACTGGGAGTTGGCGTCACAGTGGAGACGCAGCTGTTGCCAGAGATGCTATTTGAGGCAGAGGTAGAGGGGAACATTAAATACCTTGGCTTTTCACCTTACCCAGTCCCCCAGTATTCCAGCAGTGTTGTCCATTGGCCGAACCTAGCTGGAAGCAAGCTAGAGAAGGAGCCTGGAAAATGTAGTTTCTTGTGTGAGCAGGGGTGTTGGGATGGATCTTAGAGCAAAGGGAAATGGGTGATGGAGTAACTCTGTGGGGTCAGTAGTTTTGGATAAGAATATCGTTGTCGGTCTGGAATTCAGGCTGGAAATACAGATTTGGGGTATATCATAAGGGTACTCATGGCTGCTGAAGCTGGGGAAGTAGCTGAAATCACTTGGAGAATGTGCATAGAGTAAAAAAAAGGAAGGGGCAAGAAAGAACCTTGAGGAACACCATCATTTAGAGAGTGAGCCAGGGAGGATAAATTCACAAAGGACACTTAACAAGGCACAGTCAGAGACTGGAGAAGAACCAGAATTGAGCAGTGTTGCTACATCACTGAAAAATCTCAAGAAGAGAGCACTGTGTTAGTTATCTATTGCTGCATAATGAACCACCTCAAAACTTAGGACTTAAAACAGCAACAGCCATGTATTTTGCTCATGAATCTGCAATTTGGGCAGGGCTTGGTAGAGATGACTCACCCGTGTTTTATGCAGTGCCAGCTAGGGTGGCTTGACTGAAGGCTAGAGGGTCTACTTCTAAGCTGCCTCACTCACTTGGCTGGCAAATAGGTGCTGGCTGTTGGCTAGGAGCTCAGATGGAGCTGTGGGCCAGGGCCTTTGTTCTCCTCCATGTGGCCCTTTCCATGGCTGTCAGGGCTTCCTCACAACATGGTGGCTGGGTTCTAAGAGTGTGTCTCCCAAGAGAATAAGCCTGGCAGTACATCATAGTTTTATGACCTAGCCTGGGAAGTCACACAACATTACTTTTTCTTTGCTGTATGGGTTGGAGGAGTCACAAGGGCCCCATCTGTTTCCAAGGGTGGAGAAATAGACTGCACCTCTTAATGGGGGAGTGGCAACATTCAGGAAGAGTTATGTAGGATGGTAGATATTGTTGTAGCCATTTTTGGAAAATAAAATCTGCCGTTATTCAGCGTTATCCTATGGGAGGTCAAATTAGGTAAGCATTGACAAGGGTATTTCGGATCTGGCAATTTAGAATTGTTGGGAAGAGCAGCTACAGTGGGGTGAGTGGGTTGAAAGAGAAATGAGACCCAAGGAAGTAGAGACAGTTAATGTAGAATGCTCTTTTCAAATGTTTAGCCATGACAGGTGGGGAAGAGTAGGGTAGTGGTTAGAGTGGAGCATGGGCTTAAGGGCTGGGGAGACTTGAGCAGGCTTGTAGCTAATGTGGAAGGAGGCAGCAGAGAGCAAGGGATTGAAGTCAGGAGAGAGAAGTAACTGGTAGATCAGATCCAGGAGGAGACTCGGGGCTGGGCGTTAAGAATATAGGTGGGAACGTTAGCCTTTGATCAGCCTTTGTTTTGAGACCACAGCAAGGTAGTAAGGCTGGGTGCAGATGAGTGTGTGGGGTGGAGGGAGGAAGGGGAGAGAAGTGGGCAGCTGAGCAGTCAGCAGCCCGATGGCCTCTATTTTCTGTCTGAAGTAGGAGGCAAGACCATCTGCTGAGAATGAGGGGGTAGGAGGTGGCATTGGAGGCTCGAGGAGGTGGTGAAGGTTTGGAATAGCTGCTGTGTGCAATGGGAAAGGGAGCTGGCCGGAGGTAGGGAGCAGGGTTTTGGAGTGGCACTGGGCATCCCGCTGGAAACCTGCTTTTTCTAGAGCATCTGTAGGTGGCAGGAGGAGATGCTTTGGCCAGGGAATGGCCATGGCTGGGAGTGAACTGGGGGTCTCGGAGAATTCTCTTCTTGAAGCTGCGGCCCTGGGTTTCCTGAGACTTAGCAGCTACTCTGAGTCAGGCTGGAACCTGCCTCTACCTGGCTGTGCCATCAGAGCCCAGTTGGGCTGGGAGGACAGCTGCTGCCTTTTCTCTGCTTAGAGCCTCTCTGGCTCCCTAAGTAATGATGGCAGTAAGGTCAATAGCAATAATAGCAGTAATAAAGATTTGGCATCTTCCTCCCTGAGATAAGTGTCAGATGCTTTTCTTTGGAAAGCACAGCCAAGGCTGACTGTGTGCAGAGTACAGAGAGGCTCCTTGTGGTGACTGTGGTGTGCTGGGCTTGGTGATTGCAGGGCAGATCAAAATTCTGTGTGCACAGCCTTCAGGAGAGGAGCTGGGGAGGAGGCCTCAGGTCATCACCCTATGGACCGTCAGCATTAGCTGGCAAGTGGTGCTGGCTGTTGGCTGGACTCCACCTCTGGGGGAAAAAAAAATCATAGCTGGGTCACCCTT